CCAGGCGGCGCGGGGGGCGCGGCGGCCAAGGCGGGCGGCGCCGCCGACATGACGGACAACATCCCGCTGCAGCCGGTGCGCCAGAAGAAGCGGATGGACAGCAGGCCCCGCGCCGGGTGAGTGGGCCCGGCGGGCCGCCCCCCCTTTGTCCGTGCGCGCCTGGGAGCCCGGGTGCCGGCGCTCCGGCCGGCCGGGCCTGACAGGTTGGCTGCGTGCCGCGCCGGGCGCCATGAGCTGCGGCCGGGCCGGGCCGGGCGGTGGAAAGGGACCCTCTGAAGCCATCCCAGCCTGAGCCCGTCCCTTTGGGCCCGAGCGCCTGGCTGCCTCCTCCGTCGCCCACCTTCCTCTGGAAACCCTGGGAAGCCGGCCTGCCCAAGGCTGTTTACAGGCGTGCGGAATTAGAATCCTCCGAGCCTTTTCCTCGTTTTATTGTTTCGAGATCACTCCCTGCAGTTGTAATCTCGACTGGGTCTGGAGGAAGGCTTGCTGTGCTCGGGGAACATTCCTCGCGAGCGAGATATGCTGCCTTATGGGGGGGAGGGCGCGGCCTTCGCAGCGGGTCCCCCATCAGCGCCTCCAGGTCGCAGTCAGTCGAGGCTGCGCGGAGACCACCTGCCTCCCGACCTTAGGTGGGTCGGAACTGGCAGCTGCAACACGGTGGGAGGGGCTTCCGCTGGCCGATTGACGACGCTGTCCCCGCAACCCTCCCCAGTTTTGGGGAAGGAGTCCCCTGGTAGGGACAGGATTTGCCAATGCCGTGCCCTTCCCGCAGCGGCGGACCGCGAGGGCAGTTTAGGTGTGGGAGAGGCGGGCCCGGCGGTGGAAAGGGACCCTCTGAAGCCATCCCAGCCTGCTGGGGTTTCCCTTCCTTAGAGAGAGCACGGGTTGCTACTTTGTGTCTTGCCGCTTTCCCGTGCAGTGGATGCAGGTGACCTGTTGAGGTTTTGAGGGGCTGTGGCATCGCCTGGAACAGACACACCTGGGAATGAGGACTGGGGGAGCTCATGAAAATGCAGATTCCCTGGCTTCGCCCAGACGCGCCAATCAGAGTTCCCGGGGGTGGGACCTGGAGATGTGCATTTTCACAGGCCGCGCAGGTGTGGGTGATGCCCATTGACGGCTGAGAACGCAGCGGGGCGGGGCCTGCGGCCTTAGGACCCGCCCTCTCTGGGACTTCTCTGGGGCCGCCGCTTCTTGCAGCGTCAGTAGCTCGGAACCGAGACGCAGGAGTGCGGCGGGACGGGTGACATCCTAGGGTATCTTCCCTCGGTGTCAGTGGAATTTTTAAAAATGTAGAAATATATAATATACATATACACGAGTATGAATTACATGTATGATCATAGACACGTGTGTAGGTTCTGTTACCCGCGGCCGGATGGGGCCCCGCCCCTGGCTCTCCCGAGTCTTCCGGTGAGAACGCCGGGCTGATGTTATATTGAAGAAACAGGCTTGAGGTTAAGGTCTGCACCCGGGTGCAGGCGCGTGCCACCGCAGCGGCTGCTCTTCTGTGTTTTTTTTCCCTTGGGTGTTTTGTGGTGCTGGGGATCAAACCGAAGACCTCCTGCCTGCTAGGCGAACTTTCTTCTGCTGAACTACATCTCCAGCCCCAGTTCTATATTTTAATTTTTACATTCACTTGGGCTCCAGGCTTGGAATCGCCAGTTTTGGAATTGATTTTTTTTTTTTTTTTGGAACTGATGTATTTTCTAAACAGTGATGTGGACTCAGATTCAAATCATGTATATGGAGTGCTATGCATTGCCCCCCCCCCCCCCCCCTTTTTTTTTTTGGTAGTGGTGGGGATTGAAGCCCGGGCCTGGAACATGCATATCCCACCCGCAGTAAATCTTTTAATGAGTTAAAATGATAAGCAGACTCTAAAGCTGTGTCACGAACGATTACCAAACGCCTACTAAGTGCAGGATCTGTGCCAAGTGATTCCACCTGCCCAACAGGTGTGGGTGCTCTAACTGTGTAATTTCCTGGGGAACTTAAGGCCCATCCCAGACCCCCTTCTAACAGTTGGCCCTCTGTGGCTATGGATTCAATAAACTGGTTGAAAAGATTTGGGTGGAAAAAACTGCCTCTGTACCAAACATGTACAGACTTTTTTCTTGTCATTATTAACTACACAGTGCAAGAAAACAGTGACATACGGAGTAGCAGGTACATTGTATTAGGTGATCTAAGTCACCTAGAGATGATTTAGAGCACCGTGGAGGATGTGCCCTAGGTTCTATGCAAATACTACACCATTTTATATAAGGGACTTGAGCATCCTCAGATTTTGGTATCCGAGGAGGTTCTGGAACCCACCCCCATGCTTACCGAGGGATGACTGTATATGTTTTTTGAAAGCTTCCTCATTATTTTAATATGCAGTCATGGTTGAGAACCTCTGATGCAGTGCATAAGAGAAAAATGCAAGGAATTTTTAAATTTAAAAAAAATTTTTTTAGTTACAGATGGACCTAACATCTCTATTTTTATATGGTAGCTGAGGATCAAATCCAATGCCCCACGCATACTAGGCGAGCACTCTACCTCTGAGCCACAACCCCAGCCCCACAAGGAATTATTCTTAATTGATAATAGAAATATGCACTGCTCATGTGGAGGCCTGGAGGTTGTGCTGAACATAATTTTGTATTTTAAAAAGTAAGATTTCTGGTTGGAATTGGAATGGAGGGTAATATCCATTTTAGAGTTTGCCAGTTTGGGAACTGATTTTTTTTTTTTTGGGGGGGGGGGAACTGATTTATTTTCTTCTTAAAATATTTTTATTAGTTATTGATGGAATTTATTGATTTATTTGTTTTATGTGGTGCTGAGAATCAAACCCAGCGCCTCACACATACTAGGCAAGTGTTCTACCACTGATCTACAACCCCAGCCCAAGAACTGATTTATTTTATATACAATGATCGGGATTCAGATTCAAATCATGTATCTGGAGGGCTATGCATTTGCATTTTGTGTGTGTGTGTGTGGGGGTAGTGCTAGGGGATTAAAGCCAGGGCCTGGAGCATGCTAGGCCTGCACTCCACAGATATACACCCCTAGTTCAGTTATAATCTGCATTTTTGGAGAGTAGCAATGTCAATGTGGGAATTCTGGTGTTTGGAGTACCTTGGGAACAAAGGCTTCCTGAATGTAACTGTGGGGGTGGGAGGGTGTGCTAAAGGAAGGAGAGACTCCTGCTGGATGGTCAGCCTCTGCTGGGCACTTGAGATGAACGGCCTGTGTCCATCCCCACAAAAACAACATGTTTTTGAGGTCAGTTTCCAGTTTCTTCATTGTGTAGACAAAGATGCAATGATATTAAATGTTCAAATGATCACAGAGATAATCAGTGAGGGGGGCATAAATGTGGATGCAATCTACTCATTTCACCTGATGTCCCTCATAATAAAGCCATGGGGGGGGGGGGGGCCGGAGAGCCGCGCCCCAAGCCGGGGGGGGCAAGGGAATCGCAAGTCTAAGGCCTGCCTAGCAATTAAGCAAGAGCCCGACTCAAAAACAAAAGAAAAAGAAGAAAGGGCTGGGGATGTGGCTCAGTGGCCAGGCGCCCTGGGTTCAATCCCTAGTCCCCAAACCAAAAGACAGAAAATGCTGTAGGTTGGGATTTTGGTGAAAAGTCAGAGAAAAGGTGCCCTATGCCCCAGGGGACAGTGTTACTAACACTTCCCAAGATTTGCCTGTTTGCTGAGGCCTCTGGCCCCAAGGTTCTTTCCTCCGATGAGAAAGGTTCCGCATCTGGGGACCAAGGACTGTCGAAATGGCTGAGTTGGGAAACTAGGCGCTTGTGCCACTCTGCTGGGAAGCATTTTATGACGCTGCGACCTTTGCTTCTGGCGGTGTGGAGTCCCCCTGGATGGAACACCAGGGACTGGGTGTCAGGTGCCTGGTCTCGGGATTCAAGGAGCTGGGTTCCAGTCCAGGCTCTGCCCCTTACCAGCGGGCTGATCTTGGGAAGCCTGGGTGGGTCTGGGTCTTTCATCTGTTCAGTGGGAGTAAATTGTACGATGGCAGGGTCGGACCCTTGGTGCATGTAGAGTTTGGAACAGTGATGTTCAATTTGCCTTCGGTATTTACTGGGGCTGGTAGTAATAATCGTGTGTGTGTGTGTGTGTGTGTGTGGTTTGCCTTTGGGGATCTCCAGGATTCTCTATTAAGAGGAGGGCCTGCCTTTGCTGGTAGGAAATTTAGAAATGTCACAACTTCATTGCTCTTTTCTTACCAAATTCAGGGAAATAAATAACCATGTCAAGTATTTCCTCCAGGCATGTGGAAGCCCTGTGTTACCCGGGAGGTGCGGTGAGCTCCCGCCGACCCGACCCTTCACCTGGCCATGATAATTCCAGGTGTTGTGGCCAGGTCGGGCAGGGATGCTTTGATGTTTGATGTACTTGCACTTGGGAGATGAGGAAGTCTGGCAGATGAAGTAGGTTGAGAAGGAAGAGCCGATCATCTGGATTCATATTCTATCACTAGGATTTTAGAAAACAGCTTCATTGAGGTGTTCCCATTATAAGGCTATGGTTCATTGATTTTCTTTTAAAAATAAACCCACAGAGTCATGCAATCCACTTTGTGAACATTTCCTTGTCCCCAAAGTCCCCATTAATCCCTCTTGTAAGCTCCAGGCAACCGCTGACTGCTTTCTTTTCCACACGTTTGCCCTTTCTGGAAGTTTATATAAATGGAACCTTACTTCGTTTGGCTTCTTTCACTTAGTAGAATGTTACTGAAGTCCCTTTTTATTGCTTATTAGAGTTCCACTGTGAGGATGTGCCACCTTTGTTTATCCACTGGCCTTGATGGACGTTGGGAAAGTCTCGAGCTTGGGGCTGCGTAAATAACGCTGCAGAGAACCTTCCCGGCCTCCTGGGCCTGGTGGGCGTGTGCTTTCATTCCCCTGGTCCGCCCTGAGTCCTTGAGACCCTGTGTCTGGTCCTCTGTGTCTTCCCCGCCAGCGCTGTGGGTGCTCCTGCCCCACCACCCTCAGTCGGCTCCTACCCGTGGCAGTTGCCCATGGTTTGGTCCTGGACCTCCTCCCCTGCGGGCGAGGGCATCTGCACCCACGGCCTGAATGACACCTCGCTCAGGTACC